CAGAAAAAAACTATAAAACTAAAATATCAAAAATTGTTTGTTTTTGTAAATTTATTATAACAAAAATGTGTATTTTATAAATTTCTTGCGTCAAAAATATTCGTTTTTAAAAATACATTTTTTAAAATAAATTGTTTGTAATACTTAATTCATCAGCTAATACTTATGTTATGTATATTGTCAAAGTATATATTTTTAGTTTTCATTTCTATTTGGTTTTCCTCAAATTTTTATGAATTAGCAAAAAGGTCTGACAATGATTATGCAATATTTAAACCTAAACAGTATTAAGTTGGAGGCACTATGTTCCACATAGGAATTACGGAAATATATATATATATACCATATACAAAATATCCATATCAGAATTTTTCAAATTTTTCGAATGCTGACTATAATTTTTTACAAAATTTTTTATTTTTTTAGTTTTAAAGTGAGAAAAAATTCAGTAAAATTTCAGTTAAAAGTTCTTACCCACATTAAAGCAAAATCGAAGTTTACGATTCAAACGACAACTACTGGCCCACTGTACCTGCGCAAACTGCATTCATGCTCACACACTAATTACTATCCTCACTAACTTTCATAAATGCAAAATTTCGCCAAGCTTGCGATTTGATTTTCACATTGAAAGTCTAGCCAAGGCGCTAAGGGCGAAATAAATCATTTTCTTTTGTCTGTAAAGTTTTTAATTTCACGACTGAAATAAAATACTTATATTCCAAACAATTTGCAGACGATTACGAATCATTAAAAAATCACAAAAATTAAAACAACAAAAAATATACAAAAAAAGCACACGCGATGCATATTACTTAATATACTTTTGTCGACAAGTGTAATTAGTGCATGTACATATGTGTGTGTCTGTATGTAATTAGCATCAATGTGAAATAGTCAATTTATTGTTGTGATTACATTTGAATAAGTAACATGAAATATTTATTATTGTAATAAATAATTGCATGCAGAAGGCAAAATACCTCATTAGTTATAAATATGTGTGTATGTGTGTATAAAACCAAAGTCAAAGAAACAAATGACTAAAGCAGGCACTCGTCCAAATGAAAACACTAAAAAAAAATAAAATAAAAAAAACCCAAACAACAATTATAACTGTCCGCTGGTATTGTAGCAAATGAAGCAAAATGCATAAACTCAAGCGATGCACATAAATACAAATTATGTATTATAGTAAATGTTCATTGATGCATGAAATTAGCGCAAGGCCCAATTAAATATGGAGCACAACAGCGCTTAGAAGTTTAGCACATAATAGCTGGAAGTAGTGAAATTTAATTCAACAAAGATGTGAAATAAATTAAACAGGCGCTGAATAGCAGCTGAGTTCTTTGAAACTCGATCAATGATGGCAAAAGGTAAATATTTCAAGTAAAAACAAAAACATTTTAAATAAACCTAGTGCTGTTTCAAATAAAATGCGCTGAATTAGTTTAAAACGTGCTGAATAATAATAAAAACTAAAAATTTCGAATAGACACGAAAGACATATTTAGTGTTGCATGAAATACAATGCACTGAATTAATTTAAAGGCGCTGAATACTAGTTAGAACACTAAAATTTTATTTCATATGCCTCAATTAGTAATATAAACTGTGTGTTGTTTGAAATACAATGCGCTGAATTGATTTAAAACGTGCTGAATAATAATAAAAACTTAAAATTTCAAATGGAAACTAAATATTTATTTAGTGCTCTTGAAATAAATTGCGCTGAATTAGTTGAAAAGGCGTGAATAGCAGTTAAAAAGCTATAATTTTATTTGATACGCTTAAATTGGTCATAAAAACTTTGTGTTATTTGAATAAAACTAAATGCTTTTTTTTAAAGCACTGAATACTAGTTAAAACACTAAATTTTATTTTATGCGCATATATACGTCATAAAAACTTGGTACTGTTTGAGTAGAACTGCGCTGAATTTGTTTAAACAGCACTGAAGGCTTGCGAAAAACACAAAATTTG